CCTTTCCTATTTGAATACCCTTTATTTCTTTTTCTTGCCTGATTGCTCTGGCTAGAACTTCCAGTACTATATTGAATAGGAGTGGTGAGAGAGGGCATCCTTGTCTAGTACCAGATTTCAAAGGGAATGCTTCCAGTTTTTGCCCATTCAGTATGATATTGGCTGTTGGTTTGTCATAAATAGCTTTTATTACTTTGAGATACGTTCCATCGATACCGAGTTTATTGAGGGTTTTTAGCATAAAGGGCTGTTGAATTTTGTCAAATGCCTTCTCTGCGTCAATTGAGATAATCATGTGGTTTTTGTTTTTGGTTCTGTTTATGTGGTGAATTACGTTGATAGACTTGCGTATGTTGAACCAGCCTTGCATCCCCGGGATGAATCCTACTTGATCATGATGAATAAGTTTTTTGATTTGCTGTTGCAATCGGCTTGCCAATATTTTATTGAAGATTTTTGCATCTATGTTCATCATGGATATTGGCCTGAAGTTTTCTTTTCTCGTTGGGTCTCTGCCGGGTTTTGGTATCAGGATGATGTTGGTCTCATAAAATGATTTGGGAAGGATTCCCTCTTTTTGGATTGTTTGAAATAGTTTTAGAAGGAATGGTACCAGCTCCTCCTTGTGTGTCTGGTAGAATTTGGCTGTGAACCCTTCTGGACCTGGGCTTTTTTTGTGAGGTAGGCTCTTAATTGCTGCCTAAACTTCAGACCTTGTTATTGGTCTATTCATAGTTTCAGCTTCCTCCTGGTTTAGGCTTGGGAGGACACAGGAGTCCAGGAATTTATCCATTTCTTCCAGGTTTACTAGTTTATGTGCATAGAGTTGTTTGTAATATTCTCTGATGATGGTTTGAATTTCTGTGGAATCTGTGGTGATTTCCCCTTTATCATTTTTTATTGCATCTATTTGGTTGTTCTCTCTTTTATTTTTAATCAATCTGGCTAGCGGTCTGTCTATTTTGTTGATCTTTTCAAAAAACCAGCTCTTGGATTTATTGATTTTTTGAAGGGTTTTTCGTGTCTCAATCTCCTTCAGCTCAGCTCTGATCTTAGTAATTTCTTGTCTTCTGCTGTGTTTTGAGTTTTTTTGATCTTGCTCCTCTAGCTCTTTCAATTTTGACGATAGGGTGTCAATTTTGGATCTCTCCATTCTCCTCATATGGGCACTTATTGCTATATACTTTCCTCTAGAGACTGCTTTAAATGTGTCCCAGAGGTTCTGGCACGTTGTGTCTTCGTTCTCATTGGTTTCGAAGAACTTCTTTATTTCTGCCTTCATTTCGTTGTTTACCCAGTCAACATTCAAGAGCCAGTTGTTCAGTTTCCATGAAGCTGTGCGGTTCTGGGTCGGTTTCTGAATTCTGAGTTCTAACTTGATTGCACTATGGTCTGAGAGGCTGTTTGTTATGATTTCAGTTGTTTTGCATTTGTTGAGCAGTGCTTTACTTCCAATTATGTGGTCAATTTTAGAGTAGGTGTGATGTGGTGCTGAGAAGAATGTGTATTCTGTGGATTTGGGGTGGAGAGTTCTGTAAATGTCCACCAGGTTTGCTTGCTCCAGGTCTGAGTTCAAGCCCTGGGTATCCTTGTTGATTTTCTGTCTGGTTGATCTGTCTAGTATTGACAGTGGAGTGTTAAAGTCTCCCACTATTATTGTGTGGGAGTCTAAGTCCTTCTGTATGTCATTAAGAACTTGCCTTATGTATCTGGGTGCTCCTGTGTTGGGTCCATATATGTTTAGGATCGTTAGCTCTTCTTGTTGTATTGATCCTTTTACCATTATGTAATGGCCTTCTTTGTCTCTTTTGATCTTTGTTGCTTTAAAGTCTATTTTATCAGAGATGAGAATTGCAACTCCTGCTTTTTTTTGCTTTCCATTAGCTTGGTAAATCTTCCTCCATCCCTTTATTTTGAGCCTTTGTGTATCCTTGCATGTGAGATGGGTTTCCTGGATACAGCACACTGATGGGTTTTGGATTTTTATCCAATTTGCCAGTCTGTGTCTTTTGATTGGTGCATTTAGTCCATTTACATTTAGGGTTAATATTATTATGTGTGAATTTGATACTGCCATTTTGATTCTAAGTGGCTGTTTTGCCTGTTAGTTGTTGTAGATTCTTCATTATGTTGAAGCTCTTTAGCATTCAGTGTGATTTTGGAATGGCTGGTACTGATTGATCCTTTCTATGTGTAGTGCCTCTTTTAGGAGCTCTTGTAAAGCAGGCCTGGTGGTGACAAAATCTCTGAGTACTTGCTTGTTCGCAAAGGATTTTATTCTTCCTTCACTTCTGAAGCCCAGTTTGGCTGGATATGAAATTCTGGGTTGAAAGTTCTTTTCTTTAAGAATGTTGAATATTGGCCCCCACTCTCTTCTGGCTTGTAGTGTTTCTGCCGAGAGATCTGCTGTGAGTCTGATGGGCTTCCCTTTGTGGGTGACCCGACCTTTCTCTCTGGCTGCCCTTAGTATTCTCTCCTTTATTTCAACCCTGTTGAATCTGACGATTATGTGCCTTGGGGTTGCTCTTCTTGCGGAATATCTTTGTGGTGTTCTCTGTATTTCCTGCAATTGAGTGTTGGCTTGTCTTGCTAGGTGGGGGAAATTTTCCTGGATGATGTCCTGAAGAGTATTTTCCAGCTGGGATTCATTCTCTTCGTCCCCTTCTGGTACACCTATCAAACGTAGGTTAGGTCTTTTCACATAGTCCCACATTTCTTGGAGACTTTGTTCATTCCTTTTTGCGCTTTTTTCTCTGATCTTGGTTTCTCGTTTTATTTCATTGAGTTGGTCTTCGACTTCAGATATTCTTTCTTCTGCTTGATCAATTCGGCTATTGAAACTTGCGTTTGCTTCGCGAAGTTCTCGTATTGTGTTTTTCAGCTCCTTTAATTCATTCATATTCCTCTCTAAGGTATCCATTCTTGTTATCATTTCCTCGAATCTTTTTTCAAATCTTTTTTCAAGGTTCTTAGTTTCTTTGCATTGATTTAATACATGATCTTTTAGCTCACAAAAGTTTCTCATTATCCATCTTCTGAAGTCTAATTCCGTCATTTCGTCACAGTCATTCTCCGTCCAGCTTTGTTCCCTTGCTGGTGAGGAGTTTTGGTCCTTTCTAGGAGGCGATGTGTTCTGGTTTCGGGTGTTTTCCTCCTTTTTGCGCTGGTTTCTTCCCATCTTTGTGGATTTGTCCGCTGGTCAACTGCGTAGTTGCTGACTTTTCGTTTGGGTCTCTGAGTGGACACCCAGAATGTTGATGATGAAGTATTTCTGTTGCTTGGTTTTCCTTCTACCAGTCTAGCCCCTTCGCTGTACGACTGTTGAGGTCTGCTCCAGACCCTGCTTGTCTGGGGTGCACCTCTAGTAGCCATGGCACAGCGAGGGATGCTACCAGTTTCTTTTTCTTCTCTCTTTGTCCCAGGATGATGCCTGCCTAATGACAGTCTTTTGGATATAGAGGGGTCAGGGAGCTGCTTGAGGAGACAGTTTGTACTTTATAGGGGTTTAATTGCTGAGCTGTGCACTCTGTTGTTCATTCAGGGCTGTTAGGCTGCTATGTTTGATTCTGCTGCAACACAGCTCATTAAACAAACAACCCTTTTTTTTTTTCTCAAATGCTCTGTGTTGAGGGGTTTGGGCTTTATTTTTGGATGTCCGATCAGGTGTCCTGCCCAGCTCGAAGGCAGACTAGCCACTGTTTGGCTGCCGAGGCTCCGCCCTGTTGTTGTGTGATTCGCGTTGTTCCTGCCGGCTCTGCTGTGGTCTCCGCCACACCCTGCGGCGGAGTCTCTTCGTTGTAGCGTGTTGCCTCAGCAACGGCAGGCTGCGTCAGCAGTGGGCGTGTATCTCAGTAGGGACGGGTTGCCTCGGCAACGGCTGGCTGCGTCAGCAGTGGGCGTGTATCTCAGTTGGGGCGGGTTGCCTCGGCAACGGCTGGCTGCCTCAGCAGTGGGCGTGTATATCAGTTGGGGCAGGTTGCCTCCGTAGTGGTGGACGCCCCTCCCCCACAGAGCGTCTCGGACCGTCTGCCCGGGATAGTTTGAAATCGCGGTTTTGTTCGTCCCACTGGGTATCCCAAACGATCTGTCCCTGCAATCCCCTGGGCTGGGCTACTGTGCAAGTCTCGTTCAGTCTCAAGTCCAGCCCTCTCAAGTCTCTGGTTGCCGGTTCAACAAGGCACCCGGAAAGCGCGCCCTGTGGGGATTGCTGGGTAGGGCCGGCCGCCGCCGCCCCGGCTGCCGGCTTCGCCAGGCAGACCTACTGCCTGGCGTCCCGTGTCTTTTTATACTTGGGAGTTTCCCCGTTCTGTGGGCAACAAAGATCAGTCTGGAAATGCAGCACTGACTCACCGTTTGCGGATTCAACGCGGGCTCCAATCCTGGGTTGTTCTCACAGCGCCATCTTGAGTCCCCTCTCCTCCTCAATTACATTTTTAACAACCTCCTCCGTATCTGCATTAATATAAATATAGTTAATATTCTAAAATGAATTTTAAATGATCGCTTTTTTGGGGGGTGAGACTAAAATTTCCCACAAAGGCTAACTAGTTATAATAGACTTATTTCAAAAATTAGTTTCATTTGTTACTCTGTTATTAAACTACAACTTTATAGCTTATTCTATCAAACTAGAAATTATTTTATTGTAACTATTAATCTATACATAACTATTAAAATAATATACATGTAAATCGAGTTCAAATAAAAGTTTCTCATAACCAGAATGGCAGCCAATGGCTAAATCAAAGGGGCCTATTTTGCATATTATTATTTTTAAAGATATTTTTACTCTAATCAAGCCACATGGAGTCAAAATGACTGCTTTAGGATGTACCTGTGACATACTGTCTGCACCAAAATGCCTATACCAAAATAGCTGTATCAACATGGCCACATAAGCATGCTCTGCTCTGATACATTATAGACTGTAGATTTAGATTTAAGTAGTGGGCCCCACCATCGTATTTGTCTCCCATTATATACTGTGTTGTTCTTTCTAGCCTTGATGCACGCCCTGGTGTTTGGAAATGTGACAGCAATCATACAGAGGATGTACTCCAGGTGGTCCCTCTATCACACTAGAACTAAAGATCTGAAAGACTTCATCCGTGTCCATCACCTGCCCCAACAACTCAAGCAGAGGATGCTTGAATATTTTCAAACAACCTGGTCAGTCAACAATGGAATAGACTCAAATGAGGTAATGTTCATTTCTCATGTTGTTTTCAGGCGGAAAGCATATATTCTAGGGTAAAAGCAAGATGCTCTAATGCAGGTATCAGTAGTGAAAACACACCAACATCTTTATTCCTTTATTTTTTTTAATTCTTCATGAATCCCAATCCATCTTGTTTCACTTGCTTTGGCTTGTGTTTTCACAATGCCAATTTGGATTGACCAAAGTTTTTTATTAACTTGCTGCTTGTTAAATCAGGTGGACTTCTTTTCCTTCTAATTGTATCTTTTCGAAGGAATCAATTATGATAATTTAACAATATAATCTGGGATAATTATATGAATCAAGTTTCTGTTTCACTTTAACATTCAGAAAGTTTAAAAATTTCCATCAAAGGGGTTGTCTTCATACTGCCAGAAACACCCCAGACTATCATGATAAGAAAAGGTATTATATAAATCAACCAACTGTTTCATCAACCCACCAACCTAACCTGTAACCAGCATTTAGTAGTGATTAACTGGTTTCTTCTCTCTTCATATAATCACCAGTGGGTCCAAATTCCATATCTTCTGTCCTGACTAGGACTCTCTGTGAGAAGCAAGTCACAATGAGTCATATGTTTTCCTGCTAAAGCCTTTTATTAATTTGTTCTTTCTCCAGACTGCTTATCAGTTGATTATTCAGTAGCACATAATTGAAATCACAGTCACTGAAAAAAATCTCTCCAGGATTACACATACTTAGATTTCCTCTTCTGTATGCTGAATGGCCAAACAGCAGGAAACAGTAGGAAGAGCATCCCTGCTGTCTTGCAAAGTAAATCAGTTAGACTACACTTACCCCAATTTGATTTCCTCCTTCATCTTCTCTGACAGCTTTTGAAAGACTTTCCAGATGAACTGCGTTCTGACATCACTATGCACTTGAACAAGGAGATCTTACAGTTGTCCCTTTTTGAATGTGCCAGCCGGGGCTGCCTCAGGTCTCTGTCTCTACACATCAAAACCTCTTTCTGTGCTCCGGGGGAGTATCTGCTGCGTCAAGGGGATGCTTTGCAGGCCATCTACTTTGTATGCTCGGGCTCCATGGAAGTTCTTAAAGACAGCATGGTGCTGGCTATTCTTGGTAGGTCTGAATTGAAAAACTTCTATGAAATTTGACTCTGGAGCATAAATTAAGAAGATGAAATGGGGAAAAAAACTGCTATTGAGAGTAGGAAAAGAACAGATGAAGACATGAACTGAGGAGTATTCTTCATGTGAGTTTAGTTTACCTAGTGTTATATACAACATATTATTTAATTCTTGCAAGAAATCCAGTAGTTTAAATATTATCTCCATTTTAGACATGAATAAATATTACTTTAGTTAACTAGCCCAGACCACATAGTAAGAAAATGAACTCAGTTATTTTTGGTTCCTAAAGCTAAATTATTAATCATGATGTATACTGCCTTCTGGTGAAATAGCTGCTCTGTTTTAAGAGGGCATTTATTTTTGTGGAAAATTAATTCAGAGAACACAAAAATTAAACTTTATCTGTGCTAGAAATAGAGCAAAAAGGACTATGTTTCAAGAATAAGCTCTCATAGCAGTCATTAATCTAATACTGTCAAGGTGACTATAGCCTCTTTTTACCTCTTAAAGAAAACTTACAAGATACATTGTGAAAATTTTGTGCAACAGAATTGACTCTCAACATTAATACATAATTGGTCTTCATTGAAATATAAAAGGCAGATGACAAAAATTAGCATGCAGAGTTAATGTATAAAAAATCCTATTTACAATTTTATGTGAGGCTCTTTTAAAAATTGCTCTAGGCCAGGCACAGTGGCTCATGCCTGTAATCCCAGCACATTTGGAGATGAGGCAAATGGACTACTTGAGCTCATGAGTTCAAGACCAGCCTGGGCTGCATGGACAGATCCTGTCTCTTCTAAAAATACAAATAATTAGCTGGCCCTGGTGTCAGGAGCCTGTAGTTCCAGCTATCTGGGAGGCTAAGATTGGAGGACTGCTTGAGTCTGAGAGGTGGAAGTTGCAGTAAGCCAAGATAGTGCCACTGCACTCCAGCCTGGGTGAGGAGAGTGGGAGAGAAGGAGAGGGGGAGAGGGGGAGAGGGGAGAGAGGGGATAGGGGAGAGGGAGAGAGGGAGTGTCTCAAAAAAAACACTCTAATTTTTGTTTCTTTATTCAACTAAAGTTTATTGAGGGCCTATAAATGAATTTAGTACTGTTCTAAACTCTAAGAATGCAACAAAAAAGAAAATAGCGAAAATCCTTGCCCACATGAAAATTAAACTGAAGTGAAGGATATGATGGGGTCTGAGACCAGTCAAGGTGGTAGTAGTGATGGTAAGAGGCAGTGAATTCAGGATATATTTCAAACGCCAATATGAGATACAAATGTTTAGAGTTTGTGCTAATAAAAGGGGGTGAATTCGGTACTTTTTATTTTTCATGTTTAAGAACCTTATATTTGTAAACAATTGCTTGCAAAGTGTATTCACACACAAGATCTCATTTAAGCCTGTGTCAACAGAGAGAGACAGATGGGCAAAGGTATTTTCTTTTTCTAAAGTCAAAGCTAACCTAACACTTTGGACCCTGTATTCAGCACTTTTTCCATGTCTAAACAATACCTGTTTCTCTAATTAAAAAAAAAAAAAAAAAACTCTGCACTCATGTTTATCACAGCACTATTTACGATAGCAACAATATGGAATCAACCTAAGTGTCCATCAATGGATGAATGGATTAAAAATGTGGTACATAGATGCAATGGAATACTATTCATACATAAAGAAGAATGAAATCATGTATTTTGCAGCAGTATGGATTGAACTGGAGGCCATTATGTTAAGTGAAGTAACTCAGAAAAAGAAAGTCAAATACCACATGTTCTCACTTATAAGTGGGAGGTAAATACAGTGTACAGGTGTACCTAGAGTGTGGAATAGCTGCCACTGGAGACTAGGAAAAGTGGAAGATAGGTGGGCGGTGAGGTGGGGAGGGATGAAAATAACTTAATGGATACAATGTATACCATTCAAGTGATGGTTACACTCAAAGTCCAGACTTCACCACTATGCAAAATATCTGTGTAACAAAACTGCATTGTATTCCTTAAATTGGTGCAAATGCATTTAAAAAAACTATTATTCTATATAATCATTGTAGGGCTTCTATCGGGGATTCTGCTAGGAAGTTTCAAAATAGATTATATTTAGGAAGAGAAAAAAGGGAACTAATATTTATTGAATCCCTAATATGAGCTGGGTGTTTTATGCCCATTATTGAATTTAAAACTTGCAACCTTATTATTTGTGTGTTATGATCTGAATGTTTGTGTCCTCCCAAAATCGATATGTCAAAACTTAATCCCCAATATGACGGTATTAGAGGTAGGGCCTTGAAGAGGTGAATAGGTGATGAAGGCAGAGCCCTCGTGAATGGAATTAGCCTCTTTATAATAGAGGCTGAAGAGAGCTGCTTTGCCCTTTCTGCCATGCGTGGACACAACTAAAAGGTGCCATCTGTGAATCACAAAGTGAACTCTTACCAAACACCAGGCTTCAGAACTAAGAGAAATAATTTTTTTGTTTATAAGCCACCGAGTTTGCAGTAGGACAACCTGAAGAGACTAACAGTGTGATTATTTCCAAAATTAAAGGTGAAGAGATAGACCCTAGTGAATGATGAAAGACTTACATGCTTTTCACTGCTTCATGCTGACTTGTTTACCACTTAAAGAATAGAGTTAGTGTTTGTCTTTCAATTTTATGACTCATTTCTTGTCTGATCCTCTTATGTTTTTCTACTTTACAGAAAGGCATGGAATAGCAACTAAGAGTTTACTACTAATGTGGCCATTTCTTTATCAATATTAGAGTAAGGTGCAATATTAGAGTAACTCAATATTAGAGTAAGGCTGTGTGTGTGTGTGTGTGTGTCTGTGAGAGAGAGAGAGAGAGTGTGTGTGTGTGTGTGTGTGTGTGTGTGTTTTCTTTCTGGCATCTTCTCAACTTTGTGAAGTTAAAGGCCAGTCACCCTATCATCCTGTGATTCTAAATTAGAATTATCAGTTATTCTTAATTTGTTTCAAAAACTTAACCTTAACAATAAAATACTTTTACTGATTTTTCCTTAGTACCACTAAAAGTTTTATATTCTGCCTAATGATTCAGCCTGTTTTTAAGAGGGCATCTAGACTTTTTCTTCAGGATCTTATGGTTTGATATTAATGTAAGCAAATACAATGAAACATTCTAAACCAACATAATGTGGATTTTTCTATAATTGTGGTACATTTTAAATTTTGGTAGCAACAGTTTTAGGAATAGAATATGAAGGTATCATCGATGATACTAGAGCACAGTAAGTGCAAATTTAGTGGCTTCTATGTAACTTCCATTGCTAGTCAAATAGGATCCAACTGGGTCTTTCTTGTTCTATTTTTTAAAACTATTTATGGCTGAAAGATTTAATTCATTATTTTTTGCTCCTGGCCCCAAGTTTCTCCATAAATCGTGATTAACACGGGTAACACTTTCACATCTTTGCTTCTACCAAGTATATGTGTATGTCAAAAGTGCAAAATGCCACATGACCATTCTAAACACTGGTTTGTGGTACTGGGACTAAACTCAAACAATGACAAGATATTATTACTATTTACTTTCTGTGATTAACATTATTTCAATAGAGATTGATTATTTTACTTTCCCTATGGTAATATTGCCTTATAGGGCTAATGCAAATCAATACTACTTGGATAAACTTAGCAAATACATGACATTATACTTGGCATGTAGATATTTAGCACACATTCACTCTGCCAATGGAAAAAAAATGTTCTTCCTCCTCACAACAACAGCTGTCCAACCATAAACTTATTCTAGCAACTTTCTTGTCTAGTCAATATATGCATACCTTTCTTAATCTGATACCTGGAAAGAGTAGGGCCAGGAATTTGTTATGGGGCTAGAATTTGTTTGCATTGTATACCTTGATTTCATGTCCAGGTAATGGTGTTTTCCCCACCAATTTTTTCATTATTTTAAAAGAAAATGGCAAACCATGAATGAATGTAGTCTCCACAGAATATTAGTCTGCCTAATTATAATTAAACATAAGCTATAGCTCTAACCTGAGTGGTTTGAAGATGCATCCCATCACCTTATGTTTTTCAATGAAATAATAACTGATTAGCAAAGATCAATCATATAATGCTAAAACCCGGAGTCCATAAGGGATCATAGAAATATTTGTCTTTTAGAAATAAGGATACTGAGACCCAAAGTTATTTAAAATTAAAGGTCCTAAATCTAAACAGCAAGAAGTTCACAAGACTGTAAAATTAGTGAGGTAGTTTTAGGTGATGAGGTGAATACCAGCACGGTATTCTCTAGTACCTGCTTGCCAGAGCTCAATACAAGGCCCAGCATGCATGGTCAGTTCTCCAAAAATATTCATTGAACAAAATATAAAGTGGAATTCTTTCTAGGATGCCAAGATTGGCAGATGCTGGTGCCGTTTGTATAGCTAGTGTCACTGTGACTGAAATAGCCATGCCATGGCCACCCAAAGTATGAAAGGATGACGACCCTAAAGTTATTGCAGACACTAGCTGCTTACAGTGAATGTGAATGCTTCTGTACAAGAGACTGCATCAAAGTTACTGCAGACACTAGCTGCTTACAGTGAATGTGAATGCTTTTGTACAAGAGACTGCATCATGATAAATTCTCCTCGAATATATAAAATTAAAAAATTTTTCTGTATTCAAAACATCCTGGATCTATTTATATCCTGCATCAGTACCCAGCTTCGAGTTCTGAGCAGCAAGTCAGATTTCCAATGAAATATACAGGAAACAAAATTTCCAAGTTTAGCAATATTGATAACAATAAGATTTAAATTCTTCCACACCATGTGACTATTTATCATTCCTGTTGTCTAAAAATAATAGATTTTAGTCTATTTTTTCTTCTTCCAAAATAGGCTAAATTTCAAGGTTTAAGTCCAGTACTAACTTGAAGGTAATATCTACTTGTAATCCAATAATTTTAAAACCCTATTTTTTATTTGACATACATATTTATGAAAAACTCAGGTATTCATAGTCAATTTGACATGTTTCCTTTTACTTTCAAATCTGATAAAATAGACTTGTATTGAAGCCAGCTATATACCAGGGACTTTGTTTCCACAAATGCTGGACGCAATAAAAAGTAAAAATTTTAAACAATGCTGGGTACAATGAAAAATTAAAAAGTTAAAAAAAATTATTGAATGGGAAGTAGAGGCTATTTGTTCTAATAACTTTCCAAAGATATAGCTTGCTTGCTGTTTGTTGTTGCTAGTTAAAATCTGTTAGTTTTTGGTTCTTTATGAAATGGAGCAAAATGGCCATAAAACAAATAAAAGCTAAACCCAACTATGACGCTACTGTACGGCAAAGTTGAAAAGTCCTGCCCCAACGTTTCAGTGTAATCTCACTGAGAAATGAAGCCTGTAGAGTCAAATGAGGTTATCAGTCCTAAGACTGCTTTTTTTGAAAATGAACTCTCTCTCTCTTTCTAGGGAAAGGGGATTTAATTGGAGCAAATCTATCAATTAAGGACCAAGTGATCAAGACCAATGCAGATGTGAAGGCTTTAACCTACTGTGATCTCCAATGCATCATCCTCAAAGGACTCTTTGAAGTGCTAGACCTTTACCCAGAATATGCTCACAAATTCATGGAAGACATTCAGCATGACCTCACATACAACCTCCGAGAAGGTCATGAAAGTGATGTAAGTCTCATTTCTAATTAGCGCTGAGATCTAATAACACTGAGCCTGGAGATCACTTATAACAGTAAAGGCAGATGTCACTCTGAATAAGATGTGAATATTCAGCCACCAGTTAAGTAATTAAATAATTAGCTAGAAGCCAAACCTAGAGTTTGTTATTAACATCCTAGGAAAATATTTTTCATGGATAACTTCTCAACTCAGTTTCTTTCTTGTTTATTTTCATATGCTTATAGCTAGAATTGATTTCAATTATACATAACATTAGGTAGAGATGTGTGATTTCTCCAGAATTTAAAATTTCTGGATAAAGTATATGGTTCAGAGTTTTCGGTGCTTGTAATTGTTCACTACTTCAATTGCTTGACATAGATTTTGCTTAAAAATAATCTTATATTAATGGTACACAAAACAGTCTATCTTAAAGTGAATAAATATGCATGAAAGGATTCAAGCCAAGGGTTGTCACACTGAAATTGTAATGAACATTTTATACAATTATATATTTGCTTCATGTTTCAAATTAGACAAACAGCTTTCCTGTCAAAATATGTACTATACTGCATCCTGTGATTAAGCTGGTCGTGAACATGACTTCATTAGATGTCTCAGAGAGACACATGATTTAATAGGAATGATTGTTGAAAGGCAAGCCAAGGCATGCATAGCATTGTGTAACAACCAAAGCCTTTACATGCTGTCTTGAGCTTTGCCCCAGATATTTGTAACTCTCATTTTTTTTTTCCTATGGACTTAAGAAGCTGTGGTTTTGACCAACCCATATTGTGCAGATACTCATATCAATAATCAATATTCTCTACTTTGAAGGGTAGAAAGAAAATGTAAATTGCATATTATTTTATCTTGCTTGGGGCTATCTAATGACAGTAAATAAGTAGATAATGTCCCATTCTGAGGTTCAAGATTACCAGTTTTGCATATGTGCTTCTCTCCATTGTTGATAGCAAACAGCAGAGGAGGTACCAACATTTGCTGGCTACTTTTCATGTGTTAAGCACTCTACCTATGTAAAGCATCTCATTTATTTCTTTAGACAAATCTTTAAGGTAAGTCTTGATCTGTTTTTATGGAAAAGAAAACAGATTCAGAATGGATAAGTCACGTGTGTATGTTTACACAAGCTTGCCGGTGGCTGGGACAGAGTTTCAACATAGGCATCAGATTTTAACACTTGTATTGTTTCTGTTAAATATGCTGCCTTTTCTTGAAATTACTTTCATGCCTTTTAATCAGTAGATTGAATTTTAAAACTACAGGTGTTTTTTTGTGCTCTCCATGGCAGCATAAAATGACAACTGTTTTGAAGATTGAGGTTGAGTTAGGGGGTGGAAATAATCAAAGAGAAAAAGAAATTAGGAAAAAAAAGAAGAATTGCTAATACTCCTCACCATGGGAAAGTGGGAAATACTGGATCTCAATCTCTGTTTTCTTTTTTATTTGACAGCATAAAAGGACAACTGTTTTGAAGACTGAGGGTGAGTTAGGGAGTGGAAGTAATCATAGAAAAGAAGAAATTAGGAAAGAGAGAGGAATTGCTAATATTCCTAAGCATGGGAAAGTGGGAAATATTGGATCTCAATCACTATTTTCTTTTATTTGACTTCTTAAGGATCCTTATCTTTTTTAAAAATTTGTGGCATACAAAATGATGTTTTGAAATATGTATACATTTGGGAATAGCTAAATCACACTAATTAAGGTATTCGTTTTTTCACATTTATCATTTATTTTTGGTGAGAACACTTAAAATCACCTCCCTTAGCAATTTTCAAATGTATAATACATCATAATTAACTAGAGTCACCATGTTGTACAACAGATCTCTTAAACTTACTTCTCCTAACTTAATCTCTGTATCCTTTGAGCAACATCTTTCTAATCTCTCCTGGACCTCCAGCCCCAGCTCCTATTAACCATCAGTCTACTCTCTGCTTCTTTCAGTTTAAGGTATTTTAGATTCAACATACAACCGAGACCATGTAGTAGTTGTCTTTCTGTACCTGGCTTATTTCATTAAGCAAAATGACCTCCAGTTTCATCAGTGTTGCTTCAAATGACAGTATGCGCTTCTTTTTTAAGGCTGAAGAGTATTCCATTGTGTATACATACATTTTCTTTATTCACTTGCCTGTTGTTGGACATTTAAGATAATTCTGTATCTGGGCTCTTACTAATAATGCTGTAATGAAAACGGGAGAACTTCCCTACTGCTTTCTATAGTGGCGATCCTGATTTCCATTTGCAGCAACCGTGTTCGGGGCTTTTTTCTTCTTCACATCGTTGCCAACATTTATCTTTGTTTTTTTTTCTTTTAGCCATTCTAATAGGTATGGTTCTAATTTGCATTTTCCTAATGATTGGCAATATTAAGGATATTTTCATATAGCTGTTAGCCTTTTGTATGTCTTTTTTGAGAGAAGTTCATTCTGGACACTTGTTTATTTTAAAAATCGGGTTATTTATTTTCTTGTTATTGAGTTGTTTCAGTTCCTTATGTATTTTGCATATTAACTCCTTAGCAGATGTATGATTTGCAAATAATTTCTCTCATTCTGTAGATTGTCTCTTGATTCTGTTGTATCCTTTTTCTGTGCAGAGCTTTTTAATTTGATATAATTCAATTTATCTGTTTTTGCTTTTGTTGCCTGTGCTTTGGAGTCATATCCAAAAACATTGTCCAGACCAATGTCATGGAGTTTTCCCCTATGTTTTCTCTTAGAGTTACACAATTTCAGGTCTTACATTTAATTCTTTATTCATTTTGAATTTATGTTTGTAGATGGTGTAACATAAAGATCTAATTTTATTCTTCTGCATATGGAAAAAGAATTTTTATCTTTGATAAATTTTTCATGATTTTTTTCTATTTGCTAGAACATTAATTATAGTAATTTCTAAATCCCAGTATACTTGAATTATCTGTGGAATTATTTTCATTGTTATTTTTCACTGTTTCTGTCTCTCTCTTGGTCATTTGTTCTTTTTTGGTAATTTAGTTCTCTTTTTTAAAAAGGAAAGCAGGTGTCAGAATTTTGTTTAAATATAGATGTTGCTTATTAAAGATCATTCATGTCATTTTCCTCAAAATAAGATTTTCTTTTCATGGGCAGAAAGAGTATCAGCAAACCATATAAATTATGCTGTCCATAATTTATTTTAGGCCTTGTTAGGCTGGTGCATTTCAAGTTTGCCCTCAGTCCTGAGGTCTAGCCTTTACTCCTAAAACAGCTTTTCTGGATTCTTAGCTGAAATCACAGTATGTTTGCCAAGGCTCTTCCTATTTAGCAGAGTTTGAGCTCCAGCCTCCATCTCCGCAACACCACTTGACTGTTGAAACCTCGGTTCTGCAATTTACCCTTCTAGGTGCTATTTTTAATCTGTTTCTTAGAGGACTGCCCCTTGCTATTTAAGTAAGTTAGGAGTTGCCTAATGTCTTAAAGGGAACATCAATGCAGTTTACTTATCTCTGGTATTATATTCCTCAAATCCCTTACGCTTTGGTCTACTTGAACTTCTCATCCTTAGTTGGTAAGGATGCTCCTTTCTCCTCTCTTCTATTCTACCTTATAATGAAATAGCAAATGCCTGCAGAAAAATACCTAGCTGAATGTGAGGCTCTCATTGGTGCACTTCTCTTTTGTTAGGGATCACAGTCCTTCAAGTCTTAGTTGATTTCTCTCAAATTCCTTCAAGTAGTTTGATATGGTTTGACGGTATCCCCACTAAAATCTCATCCTGAGTTGTAGTTCCCCTAATCCCCACATATCATGGGAGGGACCAGGTGGAGATAATTGAATATTGGGCTGTTTCCACCATCCTTTTCTTGTGATAGTTAATTCTCACAAGATCTGATTGTTTCATAGGGGGCTTCCCCTTTCGCTGTGCACTCATTCTTCTCCCCACTGCTATGTGAAGAAAGACGTGTTTGCTTTCCCTTCTGCCATGACTTTAAGTTTCCTGAGACCTCTCCAGCCATGCTGAACTGCAACTTAATTAAACTTCATTCATTTATAAATTACTCAGTCTCTGATATGTTTTTATTAGCAGCATGAGAACAGACTAATACTCAGTTATTTTATGAATTTTGTCCAGTTTGATAATTACTTTTGACTGGAGGGTTAGTTCAATATAAGTTACTTTATTACAGCTTGAACCAAAATTGTTTCTTTTCAAAGTGGACTCCTCATGGGTTGCATTTTAAAGGTAGATGGGACCTTCATTGTTTTGTAGTTCCTGATATTTTATCCCTCAAAACTTCTATTCATATATACTGAGATCCTAGAGGATACTATGCTGTCTAATGGCTAGGTAAGTTTGGAACTCTCTTTCTATAAGTTTGTACCATAAGGGAAAAGTCTTTGCCCTCCCCAACCATACTATGACTTTCAGGGGAACTTATATTCTGATGATTACCTTATGGATTCCTGTTCTCTACTCTGTTGTCAGACCAAATGGAGAACGAAGCCCCTTTCCTTGATTTTCACAGACAAAACCAAAAATATCCAATCACACAGGGTTTTCTGTGGGTAAAGCCTTTGTGGAAATTTAAGTGATGAGTTGTGGAAGGAAGAACATTTGCAAAATGAAGATGCACACAACATAAATGTAACTTATCTATATTGTCTTATTTTTAAAGTTCATGTGGACACTCTGCCATGTTGCTCAGCCACTTATTATTGGTCTTAGCTTTCTCCTCTCCTCTTTTGTATGCTCCCCTCTAATCCCAAATTCCTCATTATTTCTCATCCATGTTAATGTAACTCTCTGTTTAGTTGCCTTGCATTTTTCTGATTTTGCCTCCTGAATGTCACCTTTTATTCTGGGTAGCTTATGTACTATCCAGCAACATGGAGAGTTACCAGAATATCTGACTAAAGAGAAGACTGACAGACAACCTATTCTGAAGTAAAGCAAAGACAAAAAGCACTTTAATAAATAGTCAAAATTTAGAAGGAATATGCATGTAGCAGTAGGATTAT